GCAGAGGCAGGCGGATCTCTGTGAGTTCGAGGCCAGCCTGGGCTACCAAGTGAGCTCCAGGAAAGGCGCAAAGCTACACAGAGAAACACTGTCTCAAAAAAACCAAAAAAAAAAAAAAAAAATCTATATTTAAAATGCCATTTCATACCAAAAAAAATCATCTTAAAGATTTAAAAGTAAGTGCATTTTAAAAGGATGGGTTAAACTGAACTGATGAAGCACATTTTTGCTACCCTAGTTTCTGTGTCGTAAATTTCTGCTTCAACAGAACTGCTCCAGCATTCCCAGGTGCCCCTAGCACTCGGGTACTGCGGACCCACTTTGAAAGAGGAAACAGCAATTCCAAAATCCAAAATCCAAAATCATACCACCCATGTAGCAGCTATTCTGAGTGCACTGACCCTACACTGTAGAGTAATCCTAAATACAACTTTGTAGGAGAATTAAGACGTCTTGTTACTTCCCTCCAGGATGCATTTCCCTGCTCCACTCAGTGATTGTCGTTTTCTTCATCTGGGTCCAGAAACAGGAAACTCACTTCTACATGTATCATGTGAATATGTAAAGGCTTCCCATATTTGTTCTTCCCAAGGACTCTGATTTATCAATCTGAAACTTACTATCTCTAGCTAGGAAAGTCTGTCAATGGTATTACTATACTGAATGGTAAAATGGTTCACATACATTGGAATACCTAATACCTGTTCTGTATTTGCTGAATTATTTTTAATTGCATGGCATACATGTGGAGGGATATGTGCAAGTGAGTGCTAGTGCCCACAGATACTAGCTAGGGGCTAGAGCCACAGGCAGCCGTGAGCCTCCTGAGAGGAATGCTGGGAACCAAACCTCAGTCCCGCTGCAGGGGCCTGCAAACTCTAAAGTGTGGAGACCTTTCTCCAGCTCCAAGAGAGGTTATTCTTAATAGGATAACTTCGAGAAGATATAATTTCCATAGAATGTTCTTATTGTGGGCTTCTCCTTTCACAATACCAGTAAATCAATCATTTCAGTTCAGGAATATGGGTCACTCAGTTATATTAATACTGCCACTTCAGATATTAATTTTATTTGTAGTGTGTGAGTGTTTTTCCTTGTGTGTATGTATATATTCCATATGCATGTGGTGCCCACGGAGGCCAGAAGGGGTCAGAAACCCCTCTCCTGCAGAACTGGAATTACAGATGGCTGTGAGCCACCATGTGGGTGCTGGGAATTAAACTCACAAGACCTCTGCAAGAGCATCGAATGCTCTTAAGTGCTGTCCCATCCCTCCAGCCCCACAAATTCATATTTTATTTCAACAAAATTGTATATAAACCAGTTTTAATATTTTATTACAAGTCCAAACATCCAACCATAACGGCCAACTGACATAATAAAACTGTTACTAGATAGCACAATTTTAGGCAGACCTTTATAATTATTAAGGCTATTTAACATATAAAAATATTTAGACTGTAGGTTAATCTTTTAAAGGCCCAAATTACATGTACTCTGTGATTCTAACTCCAGCGATAACTCAGGAATTGGGTGCTAGGATCAATTATACTATAATCTGTGGATGATCGACTCCTTTATAGAAAATGGCATAGTATTTGTGTATAACAAACATCCTCCATATGCTTTAAATCATCTCTAGGTTACTTATAATACCTAATAATATGTAAATGTTATATAAATAGATGTTACACTTTATCGATTATTGTATATAATAATGACAGGAAAAGTCTGTATACATTTAGTACAGATGCAATATTTTCCCAAATATTTTTATCTGAAGTTGGCTGAAGCCAGTGATATGGGACTTAGAGATAAAGACAATCAATTGTATATGGTTAAAAAAAAAACAAAAACAAAAAAGCCTACCAAAATTCTAATGTTCATTTGAATTCAATTAAATTTTCTAATGTTTGATTGAATTATGAATTGTATCCTTAATTAAACCTTTGTAGTTTTTTAAAACTATGATTCCTTTGTATTTATTAAGAGTAATATGTATTTAAACATTTTCATCTGACATGCTGAAATTCACAAGTATGTGGGACTAACTAGCCTATAAAAATTTTATAAGGTTGAGAAGCCCTTATCTGAAGTCCTTGAGACCAGAACTGTTAGATTTTAAATTATTTTAGATTTGGGAATATTTGTATATATATATATATATATGTATATATATGTATATGTATGTATATATGTATATGTATGTATATGGTATATACCACACACATATATGTATATAACTCATTAATGTGTCATGAGCCTAAGAAATGTATGTCTCACATATACTTTATATATATATATATATATATATATATATATATATATATATATATATATTGAAGGAAATTTTATGTAATGTTTAGTATGTCTGGTTTCTAAAGATTATTTTTAAGATTTTTTTTTAATTCTTATTGTATGAATGTATTTGGTTGGTTGGTTGGCTGGCTGGTTAGTTGGTTGGTTTGTTTTGAGACAATGTCTCACCACATAACTCTGGTTAGTGTGGAACTCACTCAAGACCAGACTGGTCTTGAGTCCACAGAGATCTGCCTGCCTCTGCTTCCCAAGAGCTGGGATTAAAAGCGTATGCTACATCTGGTTTTATCTGTATGTGTGTCTGTCTGTCTGTCTGTCTCTGTCTGTTTCCGTGTGTGTGTGTGTGTGTGTGTGTGTGTGTGTGTGTGTGTGTGTGTGTGTGAGTGAATGCTACATGAATGTAGGTGGCCCTTGTAGACCAAAAGAGGGCAGTGGATACACCTGTAGCATCAGTTACTGGTGGTTTGTGAGCCGGTTGGCATGGGTGCTGGGATTCAGGCTCAGTCCTCTGGAGGAGCAGCAAGTACTCTGAAATCTGAGCCATGTCTCCAGCCCCACATCTGTCGTTTGAGTGTGACCCAGTGATTCAAAAAAGTTTTAGATTTTGGATTTTCAGATTAGAAATGCTCAACCTGTATCTAACTGTTACGGGAAGTATTTAGGTAACATTTTAGCTTCTATAAAAATTTCCACACCAGAGTATATAAAGACAAAAGAGGAATGGAAGTTCTAAAAGGGACTTCAAGAAAATGTGCCATCAAACCGTCACAAGCTTGGGCAAACAACCTGAGAAGCAAAAACTGAACAAGGACACAAGAAATCAGCCCTAGAAATCACTCTAAACCCATGGTGGGCGGTCCCTGAAACTTCATGGGAAAGTGACTCTTTGGCCTCCTCCCAAACTCCTCCCTAAGGAACTGGTCAGAAGTTCTCAAAACAAAAACAAAACCTCTTTTTACATAAGTCAAACAAGCCGTAGCTACGCAGGGCCATGGGCTCCGTGTACTTTAGTCCAATTCAAACTTGAGTTCTTCCTGTAAAAAATGGAGCTAATATCACCTAAACTATTGAATCATGACCAGAATTAAGTACTGGATAAAGCCTTGAAATAATAGATAAGCAATGTCACGTCTCTAGATCAATCTTCTCTTTGTCTCTGTTTCTCAAAATGTGGAACCCTACAACTGCACCAGCATCTCTGGGCATTTATCACAAAGGTTAATTCCATAATCCCCCCCAGGGGTGGGGGTATAGTCCCTAATTCATTTTATCAAATTCTGCAAGCTTAGGGACCACTGAAAACAAGCCATTAGGTCCAGTTACTGGAAAGGCTAAGACAGGAAGATGGCGAATTCAAAGCCTGTGTAGGCAACAAACCAAGATCAAGACTAACCTGTGAACTTACTGAGACTTTCTCTAAAAATAAAAAGGTTTTTAAAAGGGGGTGGGGTGGGGGTGGGGCGCTGGGGACTTAGCTCAAGGCTAGAAAGCTTGTCTAGCATGCATGTTCAAATGTCAGTTCTGCAAAAACTAAGCTACCAAAATACATTTAACTTCACTGGCCTGTTCAGACTCCAAAAACAATCATAAAACTTTCCTTCACAAAACATCTGATAAACTTAATGGTCCTCCAGAGTAGGAAAAGAACTTCAACCCTCTACACTAAAAGCCCAGATTTTTCAACCTTTGAGGGGTGCATAGTCTTCTTGCTTTCGGCATCTGTCTTTATCTCCCAAGACACCCCAACGTTTATACATGTCTGTTTAGGGAAAGCAGAAAGTCAATTATAACCTCTCAAAATGCAAAAACTACTTATTAAATAATCCTCATTTTAATTTAAAGCCATTTATTATTAATAAGACAAAGTCCAATAAAAAAAATGGCCAACCCTGTTATTTTTGGAAGTCCAGAAATGAGTTTGGAATGTAACTCGATAGAGTGCCTGCCTAGTATGGCCAAGGCCCTGGTTTGAGCCACAGTCCAAAAAGGCAGAAAGCTAGAAGGAACAGCAGGTAGCTAAATGGTAGCTTTTTGCTTCCAAGCACAAGACAACATGTATGTATACTTTATGCCCAAATCAAAAAAAAAATGCCTGTCATGGATTTTAATATCTAATTTTATTAACTTCTGATCTGGTTGAATGTCTAATTTCAGCATATGCTTCATGCCAGCTACAAGAAAAGAGAAACACTTGGATCTGCTGATCGGAGAAACTGTACAACTCACGAGAGTCAGCAGCATTCCTTACATAAAAGTCAACTCTTGAGACCCACACATTCCAGAACACAAAAAATAAACTTCTGTTTCCATATTTATTTCCAAAAGTGGTTATTCTAGAATAAGTATTCATCACACAAAACTTGGCTGAATCAAGTAAGAAACAATTATCAAACGCGAACACCGATCCAAAGCACAGGCTGTATGCTCTTCTGTTGCCTCTTTCCTAGATAAAAGCAGGAAATTGTTACTATCCTTATTATAAAATTCTGACCACACATACTGGCCTTTACAAGTAATTTGGGGGGGGGGGAATGTCAATAGAAACTCCTGAGATACAGCAGTCTTCAGCATGGCCATGGGAACTCTGACAATAAACACTCTCTAGTCCTGAGGAGGGATCATTGTGCTATTCCTGAACACATGCTCCATTTCCTTTACCAGGTAAGTGGCAAACACAGCATTGCCAACCAAATCCATCCATTTTGTTTCCTCAAAACACTTCTCAAAGGCATTAGCACAGAAATCTCCACCCCAGGAGAGGCCAGTTCAAATACACTCCTTAGCATCTTTGGTTACAAGGGCAATACAGTGTGTACATACTGTTAATAAGAGCTCTATGATGGCTAAGTCAAGATGGAAAAAATCCTATAGGTAGACACAAACGCAGTGTATACTGCCTAAGTTCTTTACAAGTCAGTATGCAAAGTACAGCTCTTTTTTGAAATGTCTAACAGATGGACAGTATCCATCTGACCATGGAGTCAATCACAAATTTTCTGTACTACAAGTCAATTGGGAAGGTCACTGAATGTGATTCCTTTAGTGTGCCTGAAGATACTTAGGTCTCCAAGGGGCATACGTAAGATAAGAACATGTCCAGCTGGTTCTTCACAATCACTTCATCTGGATGCAGCTTGTGGGGTAGATGATGAGCCAAGGTCATCTCCCAGGCATCAACCAGATAGACTCCAACCCCTGAGAACATCCTCCGAAGGACAGTGTCCAACTGAAAGTTGTACCAGTCACTGTTGAAAAGGCTCACCTCAGGCCCCAGCTCTTGGGCATTGCCTGTCCGAATGACAACCACAGTCTTAGGGCTTCGATCCAGGAGTTGGACCACAGCTCGGCGGATGTTCCGGAGCCTCCGGATATAGACTTCCAAGGGGAATGTGCTGAAGTGAGACCACACGGCTATGGCCACCACTGTATTCTTCCCCCCCACAATCCCATTCAGTTCATTTGCCACATAATGAAGCTCGTTACTAAAGACGCTCGTGAAGCGGATGGGCGGACCATGGCAGCGATATTTGAGCAAGATGTTGTGTTTCTGGTCCACCGCGAGGAAGGGGCCGACGTTCTTGGGGCTACCCAAATTAAACTCCACTAAATCTGAAACAAGGAAAAAATCAAATTTACGAAAACATTCAATCAAAACACATACATTCTGAATATTCAAGTGGCTTTGTAAAGCAGTTTTTAAAACAGCAGTACAACAAAGAGGCTCAATGTAAGTTTAAAAGGAATACCTAATCTCTGTGTCCCATTTTGAATCAATGGACCTTTAGTCTAGTGCCCTAATTATTCACGTCACTCCAAAACATCACATAAATAAGCAATATTATCAGTGAGAGAGTCCATTTATGTCTAAGATGGTTACCTCCATTAAGGTAAGAAATCGTGTTATTTTCACAGATCACAGCATAGTTAAGAATGATGTTGACATTCATTTACTATCCTTCTAATAGATGAGTATTCTATCTTCTAGGATGGGGTACTATAACTTCTGTTTTATGAACACATTTCATAACCACACACATCTTTTGGAAAAACGTTTTGCCATTTGCAAAAACATGAATAAGCCTGGAAGGATACCACACTAAGTGAAATAAGCCAGACACAGAAAGACAAATATTCCATAACTTTCCTTATATGTAATAACTTTAAGGGCTTAACTCTCTGGGGGCTGGAGAGATGATTCAGCGGTTAAGAGCACCAACAGCTCTTCCAGAGGACCCTAGTTCAATTCCCAGCACCCACATGACAGCTAACAACTGACTGTAACTCCAAGATCTGACACCCTCACACAGACATACATGCAGGCAAAACACCAATGCACATAAAATAAATAAACTAAAAAAAAAAAATTTAAAAAGAAGTTTAACTCTCAGAGAGTAGAAACTGACTGGCAGCTGGGGAGCTTGGGAGGCAAAGGGGAAAGTTAATCAAGGATAGCTGTTCTAGTGAGGAAGAGTCAGCCCGTGAGACCTACTGCACAGCACGGTGGCTCTGGCTGACAATAGCATACTTCAGGAACAGCCGAAGAGATTTTAAATGTTCTCACTGCAAATAAATAAGTATATGAAGTGACAGTTAGCTTGATAAGATCATTCTATCAATATATCACATTGTATCCTCTAAATACATGCAATTATTTGTCAATTAAAAATAATTTTTTAAACGAAGAATGGCTGCATATGCTTAAAATACCAGCACTTGGGAGGCTAAGACAGGGGGATTGCTGAGTTCAAAGCTATCCAGGGCTACAGAGAGAGATCTTGCCTCAAAATAGGTAAACAAGTAAAATTTTTAGGAAGTAAAACAATCTAAATTATACTCCTGAATTAAAAAGGGAAAAAAAAAGTTTCTTTTTTTTCCAATATGCAAAGAAGAAAAAAAGTGGTTCTGTTCCTTTTAACTTTTAATTTTACCCCATGGTTAGAAAAGCATACTAATGTCCCACAAGAAAAATTTCTAACATAAGAAATAACAAAGTTAAGTGGTGGCGCGCACACACCCTTAATCCTAGCATTAGGAGGCAGAGGCAGAGGCAGGTGGATCTCTGAGTTTGAGGCCTGGTCTATGGAGTGAGATCCTGGCTAGCCAGGTAGTGAACCTTGTCACAAGAAAAAAAAAAAAAAAAGGAGAGGAAGAGGGGGGGAGGAAGGAAGTGAGTCAGCGGCACAACTTAGAAATCCTTCCGCTCCCTCCTCTCAAAGCTGTGTGTCAAGGCCCAGTTCCTACAAAATCTGCATGTGGGAAGCAGAGGCAGGAGGATCCCCACAAAGTTGATGTCAGGTTGATATATAAAGCAAGCTGTGGGCTAGCAGGGGTACACAGCGGAACCTGCCTCATTAAATACACACAGACATAAAGGTTGATAACGCAATTCCATTCACATTTTCTTAGCAGCTCTCCCGTGCCCACTACCACAGGTACCATGAACCAGCCAGGGCAGACATCAGAGTCTTACGTCACAGTTTACAGTCAATGCTGAAGGACAGAGCAGACTATAGCAGTCCTGCATTCCCCTTAAGGGTTAAGGCCGATTTCATGTTTTCCTTTCTGCCCTCCTTTGCTTCTCCTTCAGACTCTCCCCCTTAGTTCATTACTATGTAGCCTCCAGAGTTAAAGTGAATAAAAGTTCACGTTATCATTTTCTTTTGATAAAGATCAGGCACCCACACAAGGCTGTATTATATCAGATGAAAATCTGTCTGTAAAGGGTCTGGTGGAAAAATGATCAAAACAGTCAATGTGATCACTGCTATTAAAGGAAATATCAAGCTACGTCATCAGAAATTATGAAGCAGCAACTGGAGGCACCCCAAAGGCCTGCCTGGTCAGCACCAAGGTGTCCCCAGCACCATGCCACTCAGGACTTCCTCCTCCAGAGTGCTAATCTACGTTCAATAACTCGAACTCAACCGCGTCTGTGTCATTGAAAAACTGGAAATGACTTTCTACCTTTTGGAGTAAAATCTACTTCCTTTTCTTTTAAAAAGTAAATTAGAGATGATTTTTAAAAAAAGTCATAAGCAACTCACACACAAAACAAAACTCCATTTACAGGGCGGGAGAGAGAGAGCTCAGTGGTTAAGAGCATTCACTGCTCTTCCAAAAGTCCTGAGCTCAATTCCAAGCACCCACACAGCAGCTCACAACTGTCTGATGTCCTCTTCTGGTGTGCAGATGTATGTACCGACAAAGTACCTATATATATAAATACACAAATAAAGAACTCTTTAAAAAAAAAAAAAAAAACTCCACTTACAACCATTTAAAAAAAAAAAAAAACAGCCCCCACAAAGGCTGAGGAGATGGCTCAATTGGTGCTCTCTGTACAAATATGAGGACCTGAGTTTAATCTCCAGAACCCAAGCAAAGAGGGGGGAAGTGGTACATACGCCTGTAATCACGGTACTGGAGAGGCAGCGACAGCCAGGCCTCTCAGGATCACTGGCCAGTGAAAGACTCTGCCTCACAAAACAAGCTGGACAGAGCCTGAGAACACCAAGGCTGCCTTGGGCCCCCATGGACATTCGTTCACACACACCCATCTGCACCCATGCACGCATGTACACAGACACACACAAATAGTTCCCACACCACCACCTGTTCCTTAATAGGTGAGCACACAACCTTGGAGAAAGAAAAGAATGCCTCCCGTGCATAAGTGGTAGGTCTCCAACCAGTCCAGTCTTATTCGGGATCTGAGGACTAGTCTCAGAGTTAGGCAGATGCTAAGAATGCTGGGACCTGCCCAGAGTCTCTCAACAGAAACCATCTCTATGTCAGAGTCCCACCGATGCGAGACCCAATGGATGCCTTTGCTACAAGGCCACATCTGGCTAATTCCTTCCAATAAAATCCTGTATGGACTTAGAGTTGAGCCAAACAGAACCAGAAAAGAAACAACTGGAAGTGGCCAACTGTTTTATAATCCAATTAGTAGAAGTGAACAACATCTGTGAGGTGACATGTTTCAGCTGTCTAATCGGACACAGAGTAATGAAGCTCTGAGAAATAAATGACTCATCCAAGACCAGTGGGAGACAGCGGGATAAGCCTCCATAAAAACCCGCACTCCGACCAATCCAAGACTCTCCTATGGACCAGATGCTGCCACACATCTTCAGGGTTAAGATACTTCTTTCATCCTATGGAGAAATTGCCTCCTCACCTGACGCCTCTCTTCAGGCACCAAAGGGAGCCTGCTTGTTTCAAATCTGATTTCACACATACGAGAACCAGCTATGAAACCAAAAGCAAAAGCACCAACCTGGGACAAACATAGTGAGGTATTCAAACCACTGCCTGATTGTTGAGTCACCAAATAAATACACCATTTTCCTCTGCAAGCATTCTGTAATGTTAGCAGGGTCATTAAAATGGCGCATCTTAAACCTCCTGGGCCTCCACTGGTCTTTGTAGAAATATCCAGAAGGGAAAGTTCCTGAACCTTGAGATACTTCTAGGTCATCAGTTTCTGCAAAGAAAAGGGGAAAATCTGTTATAATATTCTGAATTTCATCTTCAAAAACAGATACAAAAAAAATGTTTCCAGAAAAAAAAAAAAAACTATACCCACATATTTGCTGGCCTGCAAGCTTATAGGCAATACTTCCTGTTGTCATAGCTTGAAGAAATCCCAGGCTTTCCCCCGATACTAAAATGGGAAGATGAGAAGTGGGTGTGGGGTACTGGAGGGCACGGGGGAGAAAGTGCACTTTAGGCATTCCCTTGAGTATGTACGTGTTCCTCAACATTCAAAATAAAGGAAGACAAAACCCAAGGAAAAGTATCTGTCCAGCGTTATTTCAGAATGAGAGGATCAGTTTTATCCCAATGCCTGAAAGCAAATGATAATTTAATCTCACATTAAATTATATAGAAGATTATGTATATATGTGTATTGATGTAGCAATATTAATACCATGTCTCCTAGTCTTCAAGGTTTTAATCCATGTGATATAATTCAAATTTTAATTCAGAAAACCACCATTGTCAACTACAGAGAATCCATGTGATGGGTTACAGGAATCATTAGCAACACTAAAAAGCATCAGCCCTGTGTACTTGTAACCTAGCTACACATTAATGCCAGCAGTACGACACCTTTCAAAGAGAGCCAACATCTGTCTGCCCTAACACCTCCCTCGGGAAACGCCACTGTGGAAACAACAAATGGCAAGGCTTCGAAACACATGGCAATAGCTAGTATCCCTTGCAAGTTAACTCCGTTCCGGGCTCTGTTTGGGGAAATGAAACATGTTATTTCATGTAAGCTCATACAATCTCTTTAAAGTTCCGATTAGTACTTCTGCTGTTCAGAGCAAGCAAGTGGAGTAAAGTCCCAAACCTGACAGAGACGCTGTCAGGACCTGAAGCATGCGGTCGAGAGCCACAGCCCAGTGTCCCAGTCACCACGTCAGGTCATTGGGGGGGGGGGGGGGGGGGGGGCCAGGGGGGCCCTGCCCGGGCTGTGCTCTGTCACTTTCTTTCCCGGCTTTCCGAGGTGTCCGCCATTTCTTTCATCTCTTCCCTGAGGATATAAACTTACTCCTTTCTTAATAATTCAAATCCACAGTCTCTAAATCACACCAGTCATTTTGTGCCACTTCCTTATACACCCAGGGTTCAGCAACAATCACAGTTCAATCATTTCTGTCACCAGCTAAGCCACAATTGGAATGCAAACACTATGTGACCTAGAAATTTAAGTCAGCCTATTTGTGACTATTTGCAGATCATTTAACTCCTTAACACTGTCCATGTTACTCAATCCAAATTATTTTGTATTTCTAATTCTCTCTTTTAAAAACGCGTATTTTCTAGCTTGCTAATTTATGCAAAAAAAATAGGAAAATATATTTTGATATTTACCTCCCAAAATAGGTGAAAACTGTTCCCATAAATACAACTATGCCCACATATTTGCTGGTCTGCTAGCTTATAGATGACATTTCCTGTTGTCATATATCAAAGAAATTACAGGATTTCCCTGATAGTGCAAATTTTCCCTCTTAGGCATCTGTTGATTCTTTGTTGGTTCAAAGACTAAGTGGAAAAGTAGCTGGTATTTGGCAAAAGTTTTAGTTTAGCAAATATGAATACCAAAGAAGAGTTGGAAGGCAAAGAACGAACATTTATGTGACTTACTCAAGAGTCATTTCCTTAGCCAGATACAGCAGGGTACACTTGGAGTTACAGCCACACTACTCTGGAGGCTGAAGATCACTTGAGCTCAGGAGTTCAAGACCAGCTTAGGCACATAGCAAGACACCATCACAAAACAAGACCAATAATCACAGTGAGCAAACAAAACCTCACTGGCTTCCCCCCAAACTCCCTGGTTGTTTTATTATTATTACAGTGTGTGTGTGTGTGTGTGTGTGTGTGTGTGTGTGTGTGTGTGTGTGTACACATGGAAGTCAGAGGACAACTTGCAGGAATCCGTTCTCTCCTTCTGCTATGTGGGTACCAAGGATCAAACTCGGGTTATCAGGCATGGCAGCCGGGGCTTTAACAGCTGCTGCTGCATAGCCAGAGAGCTACAGAGAACACACCTGGGGCCCAAAGAAAACATTCACTGGAATGAGAATTAAAAGTGATTTTGAAGTTACAGGTTGCCCCTGGTAACTTGGCAGACTCAGTTATTTTGTGTCAAATACATGCTAAAAAGAAAAGTATATATCACACAGGAAGCAATTGCCATTTCCATGAGAATGTTAATTATATTTACTACCAGAGCTTAGTCAGGCAAAGCAAATCAATTACTGAACCTGACATCCACTCTTTCAACGCAGGGTGCTGTTTAGGAGTGGAGGGTGCGTGCCTATACCGCCCCCTCGTGGTCAATCTGTGCAACAGCGTTTCCCGACTGGTTTCAAATAATTTGAAGTTGCTTAAAAAGTATTTCTTGGAACTTTATGGGCTTTCAGATCACTAAGATATAAAAATTCTCTAAAACTGACGAAATAATTCCTAAACTACTATTTCTTTGGAACAAAAATTAAGACAAAAAAAATAAAAATTCTATATTTCTAAATTGTTATCCTGAATATTAATAAAGGGGAAATCTTACCAAGACAGATCTTTATGTAAAATATAAGTATGTATTTGGCTTACTCAAATATAACTGTTTTGAGAATTGTTGTGTAAAAGCAGAAGAGGCATGTTTTTGATTACTTGCCAGTACTGTCCTGCCTTCTCTAAATATCTTGGCTTCTCTTCAAGGGCCAAATCTGATGTTTTTTCTCCAAAGGGTGCTATACCATATCTTGCAAGAATTTTCTCCATAGAAAAAACTATTCAATATCTATGCCCCACCCACAACAGCCCCCAAAACAAACCACAATTCAGCTCTAGCTAAGTTCACCCTGGGAAACCAATGGGTTTACTAGGCTTCCTTACAGAACATGTGCTGTAGAACATTATTTTAAGGTATGTTACTTTTGCTTATATTGCATTTGTTTAACTCTGTGAAGCTGTATTACTGTGGCTGTCTAAAACACCTGATGGTCTAATAAAGAACTGGTCAATAGCAAGGCAGGAGAAAGGATAGGTGGGGCTGTCAGGCAGAGAGAATATATAGAGGGAAAAATCTGGGAGGAGAGAGCGAGGAGCCAGAGAAGGACCCAGCTACATAGCGAGCAATGGAGTAAGATTTACAGAAGATAGAGAATGGGAAAAGCCCAGAGGAAAAAGACAGATGGAATAAGTTAAGGAAAGATGGCAAGAAACTAAACCAAGCTAAGGCCGGGCATTCATAATTAAGAATAAGCCTATGTGTAAATTTACTTGGGAGCTGAGTGGAGGGTCCCTCAGAAAAGACCAAAGACCAACCAGCAATAAGCATGGATGAGGGGTTATTGATTGGAGTGTTGGTGACCCTAAAGCAGCCACACTGGAATGTCTTCACTCAGCAACAGGAGCTGACTTCTCAGTAGCAACAGATGGAGTCCCTTCCTCTTGTCCTCCCCAGCCTCCCCACTCCAGCC